ATTTACACATTATATCAGTTAAACTGAATCCACTGTGATTCTCACAAGAGGGATTTGGTCCTTTCTTATAGACTGCGAAAATCAGTGATTGAGGTCAGTAAGATGAGATTATGCCCAGTTCCTAGATTCTACCTAAGATTTCAGTCAATCTTACAGCTAAAACTGGACCACCACCCTTAAAAATCTCAAAAGTGCCTATCAGGACACGCTGCTTTCTCTCACTTCAGATTTCCTATAGCGTCTTCAATTTCATTGAGAGTCGGAGAATTTACCACAACTTTCTATTTAGGTTGACTGGAAATCGAGGGTAATTGAGGTGTAACAGCAGGACAGTCAAACTGATCCCTAGTGTCTCAACCGTAGCTGCTACCTAGACGTGGTGGTCAGGCTTGTCTATCGTGATGAATCAACCGAGCTATATTGGCTGTAACATATGTTCCTGAAGGTTCTACCATGTCAGTTGGAATACGACGAGACTAAAAAGAGCTACTCAAGGTTTGAGGGCAGTCGTACTGCTGACTATAGAGGTGTGACAGCAGTAATGTGTTTGTCTCAGACAACCAGCATCTGCAGTGATGCTGCCTTCTCACAATGAAGGGGTTAGAAAAGGTCAACCCTAAAAATGTCACGCCTCACAGATTTGTCTTCGTCGGTAGGGGCTTTTAAACAAGAACGGAGCTAATACTAATACTAAAAATTACTCATTAAAAAGCCGTGAGTGACCGGCATCAAGCAGTTGTCCTTTGGACTCTGCGGTCACGCTCCCAGGTCTCTAAGACCAACACTAATCTACCTTCCTTTTCAGGTCCCTCAAGAAACCTTTCACGGTGTGGGCAGCTGGGAAGTGACATCCACCCTCATACACGTTACAGCAAGCAAGACCAAACTGGTCACAAACGAATCCTCCCTACACCCCCTGAAATCTCCCTTATCTCCACGACTAACTCTACTCACATTTCCTCACCACCCCGTACAGCTAATGCGAACGATGCGAGTTCACGAAAAGTTATTCCTGGTCTCCTGAAACCCGGTTTAAGACTACAAGTTGGAGCTTTTAATGTACAGACATTGTGTCAAACAGGACAACAGGCTTCCTTAGCTAGGACATGAGAATCTCATGCCATCGATGTACGCTGAGCCTCGGAAACGCGCATACAGTATCCGTGTAGCGTAATTCACTTGACCTCTCCAGATCAAGGCTACTCGTTTCACTCTTCGCCCTGCTGCTGCTTCCCGGGTTCTCGCTGGTGATGCTATAGCATTGAGTCATAGCGCAGAACTAGCGCTCCTAGACTGGATCCCTGTAGATAGTCGCTTGTGCGCTGTCAGACTGAATGGGACAGTAAGGATTCGAAAAGAGAAGAACACTCGCCGCCGGCTCTTGTTGTCTCCACCTACGACCCCACTGACTGCAGTTCAGACGAGATGAAAGATGAGTTTTACAGAAAGCTTTCGGACCTCAACCAAAAAGTTAGGCGCTCCAATGAAGTAATAATAGCTGGTGACTTCAATTAGGTAAACCCAGTGAAAAGGGAAGAAACCTGGGTGGATCTTATGGTGTCGCGGCTCAGAGAACAGATAATGGCGACCGTCTGATGCAACTGTGTTCAGATAACTGTCTATTTCTTGTAAACACTAACTTGAGGCATAAGGAAAAGCATCTCTTGACCTGGCGATTTCCAAAGTCGTCTCAACGTTGGATCCAACAAGATCACATTGCCATCAGCCACCGATGGAGGGGTTCGATAGAGGACTGTCGCTCGTTCTGGGGCACATGTTTAGATTCAGATCATTCATTAGTGAGAGCGCGTGTTCGTTTGACTCTTACTGGACGTGGGGAATACACCGTAAGGAAACCTCTTAGGGTTCTACTCAATGATAGCATAGCTAAGAATAGATTTCAGGAGCAACTGGAAAGACAGTTAGGCGACCATGTAAGTGATTCCCATTCATGCGCAGCTTGAAATGATATTCAGAAAGCTGTGGAAACTCCAGTGATTTCTGTTTGTGAGGTAAATCATAAGGCTGTGAAGTCGTGGATCTCAGCAGCACTCCCATTAAGCTTATCCCACCTGGCTCTGAACATGGTGAATAGCGAAGTAAGCTCAGGCACACGCTGACAAAAAGCCTATGCAATGAACGCGAACAGTGGTGGGTAGTGAAAGCAAGAGCGATGCAAAAGGCAGCGGCTACAGCAGACAGTTGTTCCAACTTATTAAGCAAACCGGTATTAGTAATCCGACTAAGTGTGAATATCTTGGAAAAGGATGGCTACATTATTCATTCTCAATCCAGGAGATTGAATCGATGGGCAGAACACCTCAGGGGTCAGCTCAACTGGCCTCAAGCAACATTTCGGTTGCCCATAATCTCCAATCATCATGAATGGCAAGTCGACGTAAGTCCTCCTAGTGTTTACGTAGTTGAGAAGCCTGTAGTAAATATAAAGCGAGGGAGAGAAGCAGGTTCCGATAGGTTTATTTCTGAGATTTTTAAGGATGGTGGTCCAGTTTAAACAGCTAGATTGACTGAGATCTTAGGTAGAATCTGGGAACTAAGCGTAATCCGGTCTGACTGGTCTCTATCACCGATCCTCCCAATTTACAAGAAAGGGCCAGATTCCTCTTGTGACAGTCACAGGGGGACTAGCCTAACTAACATAGTATCGAAAATATTAACCTCAACATTATTCGGACGTTTGACGAAAGCTCGCGTAGAGCAGACTAATGTAAACCAGGCTGGTTTTCGACTTAGACGTAGATGTATAGACCAGATATTCACACTACGTCACGTCCTAGAACAAAGACACACGTTCAGACGCCTCACAATAGTAGTATTTCTCGACCTTAAATCGGCATTCGACTACGTCGATCGTGAGGTTCTGTGGCAGTGTCTGTCATTAAAAGGTGTACCAAAGAAGTACACTAACCTTATACAGGCTCTCTACTATAACAACAATGCTCGAGTAAGAGCTTACGGCGATCTGTCATAGGGATTCTGTACTTCAAGTGTTGTCCGTCACGGCTGCCCACTCTCCCGATTCTTGTTTAACTTTGTCGTAGATATGCTTTAAGAGTTAACTTTATAATCGTCTGACTGTTCTGCAGTGGATCTTTTATCAGGAGACACGCTTGCCGACTCAGGATATGCCGATGACACAGTCCTATACGGTGAAGACGCGGACAAAATACAGTCTTCTGACTACCTAAGCAACAATGCATGTTCGGGATGCGGTTTTCACCCTCCAAATGCAAAATGTTGATGCAAAAGTGAGTTGCATCGGTACCTGAACTTGTGATAGGAAGTGAAGTAGCCGAGCCCGTGGACCGCTTCACCTATCTCGGGAGTCTCATCAGTGCTGATGGCCTGGTGGTTGACGAAATCTCAGAACAAATAATATCGTTAGAGAACGAGTACCAGGCAGGGATGACAGGTCAATTAATGAAGTAGTGATATTTCATCAGTTGTGGTTGGTACGTGTGTTACGAACGCCCAACCACCGACCCTCTCGATGAGCTATATTTTGTGGTGTAGGAGTAGGTTGGAAGAAATTGGGGGCAGCCAAGCCAGAACATGACACAAATCCATGAAATCACTGGCAATTGGACTGAGTCATGTTGGTAGATGTACACTACCTGGTTGGGGTCCGCGAGATGATAATAATCGATGGTTAGAGACCTTGAGCGACATGGATCAAAACCGTTTGCGATGGCGCAAGTGCATCCACTCTTTGTGTTCTCTGAAATTCTAACCTTCTGAATTACTCATCATCTCTATCTTTCTCTCTCAATGAATTGAACTTCAAATCTTCGAACCCTAATCTTCTCCATTACCTTTAATACTTCTACTATTGCTACCACTATGTGATTTGAACTGACACTTGCGTCTGTGCTAATGCGGTATGGTAACCTAAACTGATGTATTTACGTAACTAAATGAGTGATCCCTAAAATGTTTTGCCAGTCAATCAATCTCTTGTATTCAGAATGAATAACAGTACTATCGTTCTCAAAGATAGTCTCACGGAAAAATAACGTGTGAACCTAATGTTGGTCACCGGGTACCTTAGGGTCGCATAGCCCCTGAGTCGGTGATTCGCGGATTGCCCATTCGTGTAGCATGTTATCGGATAAATTTATTTTTTGTGTCTCTGTAATATTTATGTGTTTTAATAAAAATAATAACATCCCCGCATTTCGACAGTGCTTTTTTCGGTATATAAACCACAACGCAGTTAGCTTAGTTCGGTCGAGTTAACTACAACAAGCCTACAGATTAACATTGAATAGATTTCCGTTCATTATCACCATCATAAGTAAGAGGCATAATCTATTTAGCCAGTCAGTCAGATGCAACGTAGAACTTTGTACGTAAGTACATCAGTTCATGTTGCCATACCATATCAGCACAGAGATATAATTGTCAATTCAAATACAATAGTAGTAGAGGTAGTAAAGGTATTAGAAGTAATCGAAGAGGTTAGGATTAGAAGATATTATTCAAGAAATATGATTCAGTGAGAAAAGTTTAGAAAGTCAAAACTAGAGGCGTTGAAGAATCCAGAAGATTAGGATTTGAGAGAACACAAAGAATAAATGCACCGGCGCCATTGCGAACGATTCTGAGCCATGTCATTCAAGGTCTCTAGCCATCGATTATTATCATCTCGCGGACCCCAACCAGGTAGTCGACAATTACCAACATGGCTCAGTCTACTAGTCAATCACTTCATGGATTTCTGCCATGTTTTGGTCTGGCCGCCCCCAACTTTCTTCCAGTCTACACCTACACTACAAAACAAAGCTCGACGAGGCAGTCGGTGGTTGGGCATACGCAGCACATGTCCCAACCACCTCAACTGATGAAGTTTCACCACTTCATCTATTGATCTGCCATTCTTACCTAGAACCCGTTTCCTAATAACAGCGTTGCTCACTCGGGTGTCCCAGGATATACGAGCAATGCTTCGAAGACACCTATGATCGAAAACCAATAACCGACGAATATCTTCTATTTAGTAATTTGGATCAATTTAGTAATTGTTAAACAAGTTTAACTAAGTAGTGTTTGAGACGCAAAAGTTTAAACATCTATAGAACACGCACACACTCACACACAAATATCTACCATAAATTACCTGATTTTCGTAATCATAGAACGAATTAGCTAGACAACGAACAATCGCCTTGATATGTAACTTACAAAAAATCGGTCATATTTTAGTGAGCAGTTGTATACTACTCATTTATCTTTAAGCAAGTTTACGAATTTAATATCTAAAAAAATATATATGTGCGTATCAAGAGAACAGTTGCAACAACAGCAGGGAATACAAAATATCGCAATCAATAAGTTATTTTTTGTTTCAAAAAAAAATTCACGATTTATTCATATTTTCTACGTGCTTTCACAGCCATCTTCTTATACCTATCATGTAGCCGTGATAAAGGTGTCAAAGCGACAAGATAACTTTGTAATGCATGCGCAAAACAACCAGCAGTCAATGCTTCCACCCCTAACATATTCAATGCACTATGCGCAAAATTACGTGCAGATGGTATAAAAAATGATGTTTTACTAGTATTGGACATGGCTGTTGCAACAAACAATGGACATACAGTTTGTATGATAATTTGATTACTATTATTATTGTTATTCTCAGATGTAGTATTGAGTTCCGCTGCAATTGACAATGAAAAATGATGAATGAACGATTTCGTTGAACCATACAATGTACAATAAGGTGATGGTAACGAGCCTAAAAACGAACCAATATTTATAATAGCTGGTGATGCTGTTGTTGCAGCTGCATTGAGATTTTGTCTTTGTTTTAATAATTTCGGCAGCACCAAATAAATCATGGATGCCATAGATAGGGTATTGCAATTGATTAATTGTTGAATAAAATGACAATTCATAAATTTACCATCGGCAAAATTAGCAAAATATGGATAACTCATGCCAACATTGTTTACTAGACAAGCAATGGATGATAATGAAGTGATTTCTTTTTCAATTGATTCATAAATATTATTCTTAAATGTAAAAGAATGAAAATATATATATATATATATATATATATATATATAGAAAGAAATTAATTCAAACAGAAAATTATTTTTCTCTTGATTAGTTGAAAGAAAGAAACTGAATGATGATCTGTTAGTGGGACATAGATGGAATTAAAACATGACTACGTTGCTACGCGCTGATTGGCTAGTTTCCTATCCAATCAGCGCCTCATGGATTCTTGGAGAACAGGGTAGAATATTCTCGTATTGTTAGCTGCATGCTGATTGGTTATATCTAATCCAGTCGATCACGTGAATTTCTATCCAGAAACTTCTCATGTAAATGCTATAAATAAACTAACGTTGTATCTATTTTTGCCTTCTTTGCCTTCGCCATCACTTTTGGCTTCTTATTTCCATTTAACCTTGCTATTTGGAATATAAACTTTTCCTGTTCAACCGTGTTTTTGATTCTTGGGAACTTGTCCAGTGTATTGTGGTCAGAGAATACTAGGCAATAGGATTTAACCGTACATATCTAAGCAAGCGTTACAACAATGATCAATGCAATATATGCACAAGAGTAGTCAACAATGTCACTAAAGTTCTTGACAAATGATAGACAGATAGGATACAAAGCAGAATTTTGTACGTTCGTACATCAGTTTAGGTTGCCATATCGCATTAGTACAAACACGCAAGTGTCAGGTCAAATCACATAGTGGTAGAGGGAGTCAAAGTATTAGCGGTAATGGAGAAGATTAGGGTTCGAAGATTTTATTCGAGAAGTATAATTCAGTGAGATAAGTTTAGAAAGAGAAAGATAGAGATAATGAGTAATTCAGAAGGTTAGGATTTGAGAGAACACAACAAGTGGATGCACTTGTGCCGTTGCAGTTGGTTTTGAGCCATGTCGTTCAAGATCTCCAACTATTGGTGACATACGTCTCGTGGACCCCAACCAGGTAGTGTACATCAACCAATATGACTCAGTTCAATTGTCGGTGATTTCATGGATTTGTGGATTGTTTTGGTTTGGCCGCCCCCAGCTTTCTTCCAACCTACTCCTACACCAAAAAACCTTCCTTGACAGACGAAAGTAATTTTTACAGCAAAAAACTTTTTCAAAGTGACAACATTTACTCATTAATTGAAAAAAATACAGTCGATTTAGTGAATATAGTCCAATGAAATAAAAACTCCATTTAACAACTGACATACACCCGACTTAGTTTCTAGTGATTATCTAACTAAGATGATTTAAAATATAAACTTAGATGATATACACAAACCATCCATATCAATAGATAATATTTTATGTATGTCATCGACTAAAAATAAGAGTTTTAACATTTCATAGTCACTTGAACTAGTGATAGAGCGTGAAGCAGTTGAGCGTGGTTGACCACTACACGTATTTCGGGAGTCTCATCACAGCTGATGGCCTGGTGGCTGACAAAATCTCAGCACGTATACAGAAAGCTTGATCGGCTTTTGCGAACTTGCATCACTTATGGCATAGGCAAGATAACCAACTGCCAACCAAAGGACGAGCATACCACGCATCAGTTCGCTCCGTCCTAATTTACGGGTGTGAAACATGGCTGCTAGGAATAGAGGACATTCGCAGGTTACCGCTATTCGACCAAGGGTGTCTTAGAAGCAATGTTCGTGTGTTCCAGAAACACCGAGTAAGCAATGCTGGTGTTAGAAAAACAGTACTAGGTAAGGATGGTAAATCAATTGTATTGAAACTTAATCAGTTGAGGTGGTTGTGACATGTGTAACGTATGCCCAAACACCAACTACCTTGACGAGTGATGTTTTGTGACGTAGGGTTAGACTGGAATAAAGCTACAGGCAGCCGGATTAAAACATGGCACAAATCCATGAAGACACTGACAACTGGATTGAGCCATGTTAGTAGATGTGGACTACCTGGTTGCGGTTCGCGAGATAATAGCAACCGATGGTTATAGGCCTTAAATGCTGTGGCTGAAAATCATTTGCAACGGAGCAGATGCATTTATTCTTTGTCTTCTCTCATGACCTCATGAACTCAGAACCTTTTCTTATCTCTGTGCTAATGTGGTATGGCCACCTGAACTGCTGAAGGTACGTACGAAGTTCTACGTTGTAGTTGACCGACTGACTGATAACAACTTACTTGTGTGAAATCAGCAACAACAACACGCGTTTTCACATGATAACAAGATTCAATTTCATTGGCAACTTTTTTTAGTTTCTCCAAATTTCTACTAATTAACATAATATTTAAACCATCTTTAGCTAATTCCTCTGCATATGCTTTGCCTATTCCATCAGTGGCACCAGTCACAATTGCCCATTCACCCGCATGTTTTAAATTTCTTCGTTTTGAAAACAACATCTTTCCAATAGAGTAGTTGAAACATATTTTAATTAGACGGAAAAAATAAATTGCAAATAATAGAATTCCAATAGTCTGTAGATTGACAAATGAAACAGAATTCCATAATATACCGAGAGCACAAACCAGTACTTTCATCATAGTTTCAACTGTACTAAAAGAAAATATGTACATGTGCATTAATATATGAAAAATAAAACGAAATTTTCAAATTTTATCTATTCTCTAAGATTCAAATTAAAAAATAATTAATGTATTTAGGTCAGTTGAAAGTATGGTATTGGTTTCAAAGTAAAGTTCACGCCAACATTATCAGTAAATCATTAGAAACATCACTTGAATTCCTCAACTTTTTAAGTAAACAACTAATTGAAAAAAATATAATTATTTACAAAATATTTTCGTCTAATTATATGTTTGTGGACGCTGAAATCAAGTCAGAGAATATTAATGACTCTTGATTCACTTTGTCTAGAACAGTGAAAAGTTAGCTGAACGAGACATGAAACACTTAATGATTGCTATCGTAAAGCCTTGATGCTTCCATCTACTTCAAAAATACAAGTGAATAGAAAGTCTTAATAAGTGTTGGGAATAAGACAGTAATATGTATAAAAAGCAGTCTGATTAACATCAATCGTTAAAACACATTAAATAGCGAAGAACAGAATGCATTGTATAGACATGCTGATTTACAACGTAGCTTCCAGAAATGCAATACTAGGACGACGAGATTAAGTAATGAAATTGGTCGTTCGTAAACAATTCTTATGAATCTGTACCACAATATACATCGAATCGGCATGGAAAAAAAAGCTTAAACGTCGAAATAAAAAACAACATAGGAAACCTGTCGAGAGCCTTGAGGAATTGGAATATATGGGTACCAGCAGTTATCATACTAACAGACCAAAGATCCGTTAGTTACAATGAGGAAAATGATAAATTTAAGCGAAGGAGAGAGAACAGAGATAATCGTCCAGATGGAATAATCTGATGATATGAGGAAATGACAATTATGACAAATAGCAAATTTGAAGACATGCATCAGGCACAGCTGGTAAAAGCGCAAGACGACGATCCGTATGTGAGCACGCGTTCGTTAAGTCTCTTCTTGGAGATATCTAGTGAAAGGACTGTGGTCACTTTGCTGAGAAAGCACACCAAGTTAAGACAACTCATAATGAGAAGAAGTGTGCATGAACCTGAGATAAGACATGTAAATGACCTTCGTCACTGATCATAAAAATCATGGTATAAATAGATTAATTATCATACAAAAATAAGCATTTACGAAGATATACAACACCACATCGTCAATCCTGTGTAACACGCAACAGTTACCCCTGTAAGTTTTGATATGTCCGCCGTGACCCGGAATATGCAATATACAATATACAATGTCTTTTTCACGAGCTCGCACAGAACACTTGTTTTCATTGCTCTCGATGTGTGTTATTTCAATACGGTTCAAGGTATTGGGTAGTGTCTAACGGATAGGAGTCTAGCCAGTTCACTTCACTAATTCTAGTAAGTCAGTAGTCGTTTATAAGTACATATGTCTCGTGATTTGCATGAGTACGTTTGATCCAAGGATGTAGAACTTCTTGATATCAGCAGTCATCAGTTTAGTAGGCCGGAGATCAGTTAGTTACACTGCAGAGAATAATATGTAGAAAAGCTCAATGCTGATAAAAGAATATTTACGAACTAAGGAAATAAATGCATAATTTTCGGGCAGAGTTTTGGAGGTTTGTGTTTTTACACATTTGAAATCATCAATCCATCATTGTTAGAACACCATAAGAAACTTGGAAGCACTGGACGGCCGTTTCATCCTGGTGTGGGACTCATCAGCGATGGATAATAATTTTTAATAATTGGTAATGAAAATTTTACTTGAGGCCAAGACTGAATGCGAAGGAAAGTAGGCAGAGATACTAAACGTAAGACGGTAATCCGTATGTGGGTACTTGTTTATCAAGTCTCTTCGTGAAGCTGTCCACTACACAGGATGTGGTCACCTGAGCTGGGAGAGCATTACATTTTGCAATAACTCCTAATGAGTAGAACTATGCACGAACCTGGGTGTCTGTTTCTTGATGTACAATTTCGGAAGACTACCTCGAGGGAAGAGGTGGTGACTTTTTGGTAAGATGCTGACGTTGGGATGGTTTGGCGTGCCTAATATGTTGCACGTCATCACTAGATCACGTCTGATTCTCATATAACTGAGGAAGAATAATCTTAAGTGCTGGAGCCTTAGTTTGTTCTTCAGCCCCATTGCTTTGTTCGTCTTCGCACTCGATCCAAAAGATTAGCACAAAGTTATCTTCGCATAAAGTGAAGAGTTCTGTTAACTTTGAATGCGTCATTTATATGGTTTTAACTTGTGTCTAGGCTCTGAGGTTATTAAATCGATGTCGCGCTCTGGAGAGACACCAGGGAGCGGACTTCCATTGAGGGTTTAAGTGATTAGTGTCATGTGGGCAGAATGTTCATGATGTCACATTTCGAGCATGCGCGTATCACAACAAATAGTAGGTTGCAGAGTAAACTTTCGGCTTCGAAAAGGCCACTATGCCTACCGTTTGGTGTGTGGTGTGGTATCGGAAGAGTACCATACGTTGCACACTTACTGCGTCGTCTGCACTATCGGCGGATAACCATGTTTCATTTAGGATTATGATCTTCATATCAATCAGACAGCACATATTCATGATTTAAAACAGCTTAATTCCTAGTTCTCTTACGTTCCTGAAGACTAATTTTATGGCTTGCTCATCACCTGATGCAACTCTACAGCCGTTGTCGGATTTTCAAACAAACTGTTTAAACCTAGTTGGCCAGTCCTGTGGGAACTGGCCTTTGAAACTTTCTTGCTTGTGTATTGCAGTCAATCGGTAAACCATCATTTACGTGTGTTGTGCTGTGGGTCTATGTTGGATCTATGTTGGCCATGTCAACATCGTTCTTTATGTTGTATATTGGTTGTAGCGCCTCAGTTAGGTCTTCCGGATTCCGAAGTCCACAGCCGACAGAAGTGGAGATTTATAGGCTGAAAAGTGTGACAAGCAGTGGGGATCGGCTGATTTCCATGTTATTGTGACTGCCCATGTCATACGATAGCCATCGCTATTGTTGTACCTCATTAGTGTGAGATTCATCTGAGCTACCTTGTGGTGTATTTTCAGATTATCGTATTTATCACAGTTTGTAGCGACTGACGTACAAAGAGAAGAATAGTATAACCAAGGGTATCTGAGACTTTCGGTGGATTCATTCAGCAACTTGAGCCGAATTCAAGTTTAGCTTCAAAGCAGAAGGTTTCGCTTTAGTGATGTTCTGACCCTTGAAAAGAAAGGTTGCTATCCTCAGACACTCAAACACTGAATAAAGTTAGTTAATTTTTTGTAACGTCTCAGTCTACCTTGTGAAATTATTCGGTCAGAAGTGTTATCGATTCCATTTCTTACGCTTTTACACTGGTTCGCACTTTTGACAGATACTGGGAAGTTTGAAACAACTGGCAAACTCATTGATCTGCTACCTGGGGTTACGTCAACATTTGACAGCTGTTTTGTTAGTTTCATGTTGGGCGAACTGGGATTGCGATTAATAATTTGTAGGATCTGACGTATAGTACCTGATGAACACTTGGATGAGGCCAACAAACATCAGTACGGAGACACTCGAAAGAAACGGCGGGGTTCCAATATCCAGCTGTGGTCACTCGATAAACTTATTCGTAGTGTATGGAATATATTATTCTGTTTATTACCTTCAGTTTAATAATGATAATTTATGCTCGAATAACATGTTACAAGAGGCTTGCCCAATTACAAATAAGATTAAGACGATGAAACTGCTAACGCATTTGCCGTAAAATATTATTCAGTTAAATAAATATCTCTCAAGTTACTGTCAAACATATGGAGGGCTAAGATTTTTCAGATAAACGCTTATATAATTTCTCAGACTCCGAAGTGTACAATACAGCAGTGAGCGTCACGTTGTCGTTTACGTTTAGACGAGCAACTGCTGGTTGGGAATCGATGCAAGTCAGATCACGATCTGTATATAACAAGAAGTGATGAGGTTATAGCAGTGTGAATCGGGGTTGGCTATGAACACTACTAAGAGCATACAACGTATTGGTCTTTCAGATTATGTAATCCATGCATGCAAAAAATGTTTGCATGTCTGTTTATTTTTATATTGCATTTACCTACGAGTGGCTGAGGAAAAAGCTGCTGAAAAGATAATTTCATCATATGAATTTGCTTCTGTGAATTGCATAGATATACCTGCAGCTTATTATTTTTATTGTTTTCGGAGGAATCAACATTTTGTACGCCATATTCATGTTTTTATGTGCAGAGTTGTTGCATAATTCTTTCTTGTGGTGATCAGCTTCAACTTGAATAGATTTCTCAAAACACTTTTGCATGACTATATGAAATAAATTAAATTGAATTTCAAAATTTCATGTTTCAAATCAATTTTATAAACACTGGATTATATACTGAAGTTACAGTTAATTGTAGTCCTGAAACATAATTTCAGTGAGTGGCATCGTCGATTATCTATGAATGTGCTACAGACCTAATAGTTGTAGTTGGAGATGCAGATGGAGACAACATCCAAGAAATACATGATAGAGTATAAAAGAGAATGAAACAGATGATTGTACTTATTTGCCTCAGAGTGGCATACGTTTGAATCGATGCCTTGCATGATCAAGATAATATTCACTGTCGCGAAAATTCGAAGAAATTTCAGAAAGACAGACCATAAAAATTTCACGTAGTGTGTCGCATAACAGAAATCAAAACACCGCAATCAAAATTCAAGTGTGTAAATAGAAGTGTCGAGGAAAAATGTGTGATGATATTCTTGTTGAGAGTGACAAATTAATAAATTATTGGGCTCCTGGGTGAGGCGACTAAGCCTGCGTGACTGTCAAGGCTGAAATCTAAGGAGTTAAACGAAACACTTAAAAAGAGTAAATCAACTGGAAAGGACGAGGTGCAGAACTGGAATTATTCATTGTCAAGCTCAGTCAAGACTCAGTCGATGCGTGGTATAATCACTCGGACCTTTCGTTTTCTATGGTCGTGCGAACCACTCTATGTCACCACTGCTTAGGAAGTATCGAGTGAACTGCTGATCTACATAATTTCCCAGATCAGTTTGAAATAGGATTACTCGGTAGAACGTAAAACCAGTTAGTTGTTACAAACATGCGTTGTAGACGTATTCCGCATTGTAAAAACATCAATATCATCCATGAATTACATCTGGCTATAGAGTAAAGATCCTTTAGCAAACCAAATGATCTTCCACACAGATACGGGTGGATTGAGGTAATCGTCTCACCATTATGATTTCTTATCAGATGCTCCACCCTTCATACTTTTCTGATGTTAGGTCCTTATATTTTTCGCGTTATGATTTCAATAATATTTTAGTCAAAGCTCAGTTTTGAGTAATTTTTGTCGGAATTTGATTCCCCTTGATATGCTACTTTTTTGTTTTCTACACTTTACTAGGTCCCCCATTGCAAAAGGTTTCCACGTTCTCCTCTGTTGTTCCGCCTTCTTTATGTCTGATATTTGCTTCTTTCCAACGTTTCTGATTGCCTCCCTCCTCTCTTTTCTTAACCTTCTTTTTGTCCATTTCTGTTGTTGTGGACAGGTCTTATTGTGCAATCGAAGTTGCGGTTGTCTGTCATACATGAGCGAGAAAGGTGATTTCTCGGTTGTTCCTTGTATGTAGGAACGATGCGCGAGAAAAATCAATGGTAACTCTTTCTCCCAATCTCCTCCTTTAGATGCTAACCATTCCTTTAACGTCAGGCTGTTTCTCTCTGTAAGCCCGTTTTTCTGAGGATGATACGGTGTAGTTCGTACCCTCTTGATGCCAAACTGTTTTAGACGGTATTTAAACTCTTCACTTACAAAACAGGGACCCTGGTCAGTTAATATCATTTTCGGTATTCTGTGGCACGCTACAATATGCCGGATCACCATTTCGGTCACTGTTCTTGCCCGCTGGTCTTCAATGGGTACGGCACCTTCATCACTAACAGGTACCGGTTACCGGTCGCCGTCTGTGGTAACGGTCCCATTATATCCACCGACCATAGATCACCGACTGAGGTTACTGGGATCGACTGTAATGGCGGTTGTGTGTATTTATCGCTTTTCATCAGTTGAAACTGCTGGTAAGTTAACATGTATTGAGCCACATCGTCCCTCGTGCCCGGCCAGTATGCACTTTGTCGTAATAAGTGCGTCGTTCTTGCGATGCCTGTATGTGCTACCTGTTGACATTCGTGTCTCATCTTACGCCGCCAGTCTTCCGGGATTACAGCCA